AGGGGCACAACCACAAGGTGAGGGGTGTCTTATGTCCTTGGGGGAGGCAGGTCTCGGGGGCCCCCAGCTCTGTGCTCTCTGCAGGGTCTGCGGGCCACGGCGACCCCTGGTGGTCGGTGGCGGGATACAGCGGCTGGACCTCTGACACCCCCACCCTCGTCTCCTCCGGGTGCTGTGGCCTCCACTTCCCTCTCCTGATGGGTCCCCTCTCAGGTGAAACCCCTGATCATGCATGCACCGCCAAGCCCCCAGGTTGGTGGGATGATAATGAGCAGGACTGACTGAGAAGAGTGGTCAGAGTTTCAGGGGCTCCAACTCCTGTCCCTACACCAGCCTCTTTGGAATTTTTTATTTAATTTATTTTTATTTTTAAAATTTAATTTAATTTTTAAAAATTAACATATAATGTATTGTTTGTTTCAGGGGTACAGGTCTGTGGCTCATCAGTCTTAAACAATACACAGCGCTCACCATAGCACATACCTTCCCCAGTGTCCATCACCCAGCCACCCCATCCCTCCCACCCCCCTCCGCTCCAGCAACCCTCAGTTTGTTTCCTGAGATTAAGAGTCTCTTATGCTTTGTCTCCCCTTCTGGTTTCGTCTTGTTTCATTTTTTCCTCTCTTCCGCTATGATCCTCTGCCTTGTTTCTCAAATTCCATATATCGGTGAGATCATATGATAATTGTCTTTCTCTGATCGACTTATTTTGCTTAGCATAAAAGACTCTTTTATGCTAAGTTGTTGCAAATGGCAAGATTTCATTTTTGATGGCTGCATAATATTCCACTGTGTGTGTGTGTGTGTGTGTGTGTGTGTGTGTGTGTATATATATATATATACCACATCTTCTTTATCCATTCATCTGTTGATGGACGGACATCTAGGCTTTTTCCATAGTTTGCCTATTGTGGACATTGCTGCTATAAACATTAGGGTGCACGTGCCCCTTTGGATCACTACATTTGTAACTCTGGGGTAAATACCCAGTAGTGCAATTAGGTCGTATGGTAGCTCTATTTTCAACTTTTTGAGGAACCTCCATACTGTTTTCCAGAATGGCTGCACCAGCTTGCATTCCCATGGAATTTTTTAAATGCAAACTACCCAAGGGTATAAGAAGAAACAAGAGACTGCCTTCCATGCCAACCCCCAGGCCCCTGGTTCCTTCCCTAGAGGCCACGGCTGTGACCTGTGTCTCCTTCCAGAGATATTTGGATAACGGTCTCCCCCCACCCCATTTCAAAAATGTACATAAACTGTCACTCTCAGTACTCTTTACACTAATGCACCATGGAAGAAAAGTCACTTCTGCCTTTTTAACAGTTTTATAATATTCCACTGCATGGCTGGGGAACAAACCATTGATTTAAACAGTCTTCAATTGACAATTGTTTTCAATATTTTGCAGTTACAAAAAATGTGGCGAGAAATGCATTCATTTTGCGTTTCTCATACACATATATTTGTATACTTGTAGACATGTATCTGTAGAAAATTCTTAGAAGAGAAATTGAGGAGAAAGGTGTGTACATTTTTAATATTCATATATTCTAGAAAATTGCCCTCTTGAGCAGCTGCATGGATGAGCAGTCCCAAGAGTACTGCCTTCAGGATCACAGGCCTGGCTCTGCCGGTATCTGACTGGGGGCCCCGGGGGCGCGGGTCACGAAGCCTCTGAGCCCCAACGTCCCCATCTGCCGCATGGAGGCGCCATCAGCACCCATTCCGCTTGCATGGCCAGCTCAGGGGTGCCGAGTGACTCCTCTGCACTCTTGTAAGACTTATGGCTCGATGATTGTTGTGCGGCCACATTTAGGCGGTTTTTTAAAAAGATTGATTGGTTCATTGATTGATTTAAGAGAGCACGAGCGAGAGGGGCAGAGGGAGAGAGAAACTCAAGCAGACTCCGCGCTGTGCAGGGAGTCTGATTCGAGGTTCGATCTCAGGACCCTGAAATCAAGACCTGAGCAGAGAACACGAGTCGGAGGCTCAACAGACTGCCCCCTTCAGGCGCCCCTAGGCGGTTTTGAATAGCACAATAGAAAATGTTAATAAAGTGCAACTTTATGTGCAGAATTTGAGCTAAGGTATTCGTTCAAATTAAAAATCCCCCAAAAGACCCAGCTCCAGGCCTGTGGCCCAGAGAAGCACGGTCCGAATTCGCGCCGTGGCCACAAGAGGGCGCCCGTGAGCGGAGGCCGAGCCGTGGGAGGGCGGCTGCGCCAGCCCGGGACCCGCCAGTCGCGCTTTGTCTGTTTCCCGGGGAACGCCTGCTTTCGCTGGCTTCCACGCCCGCACCCTCCGCCTCTCCCTCACACCTCTCTGCTGCCCAGACGACCTGTCCTGGCGCATCCCACCTTCTCCCACCGCCAAGACGTCCCCAGGGCTCGCTGCCAACTCGTGCGAGTTTCCCTCCCACGTGGCGCGGCCCCTGGCCATCTTCGCAGGGAATCTCCTCCACACCCGATTGTGCCCCGGGGTCTGATTCTCTCTCGAAGCACTGGGTGGTCCCATCGCCCCACTCAACGCACGCCGCTCCGCCTGGCCGTCACCTCTCCTGCTCCTGAAATCTAGCCTTCTGTCTTCCATGACGTCCTCTCTCGTCCGGACTTCCGCATTTCTCTGTCCTGAACACAACCAATACACCCAGCTGTATGACAGACACCCCGACCCTGACGGTCCACCGCCGAGCTACCTCCCCCTGGCATCCTAGCTACTCTCCCTGTGGCTCAGGCCACCCCACTCCCACTCAACAGCAAGTCAGGTATGTCCCCCCCCACCCCGCCCAACCCTGCCGGCACCCCCCCCACCCCGGGTGACCACAGGACCTGCTGACCACCCCCCCCACCCCCCGCAGTCGGCTCTCTGCGCAACAGCTGGGAGGCCTGTGAAGACCCAGCCCCCGAGGCGCCCACTGCACGGCTGGCCCCTCTAGCCCGTCCCAGCTGTGTGGGCACCTGGGCCAGAGCCCAGCCTCCCCGCCCCGCCTTCTGCACGCCCCCTGGCTCACCGCCCTAGGGTCTCCTCTCAAAGCTACCTCTCCGGTGGGCTATTGTCATAAAAGGGAAGGAATGGGGCGCCTGGGTGGCTCAGTTGGTTAAGCGACTGCCTTCGGCTCAGGTCATGATCCTGGAGTCCCGGGATCGAGTCCCGCATCGGGCTCCCTGCTCAGCAGAGAGTCTGCTTCTCCCTCTGACCCTCTTCCCTCTCGTGCTCTCTATCTCTCATTCTCTCTCTCTCAAATGAATAAATAAATAAAATCTTTAAAAAAAAATAAAAAATAAAAGGGAAGGAAGCCCTGACACACGCCACAACGTGGTGAACCTCGCAAACGTTGACGCTGAGTGAGAGAAGCCTGTCACAAAAGGCCACAGAGTGTATGATTCCACTGACAGGAAACGTCCAGAACAGGCAAGTCCATAGACCCAGAAAGCAGACTGGTGCTTGCCGGGGGCTGGGGGAGGGGCTGGGGAGTGACTGCTTGTGGGGATCGGGTATCCTTTGGGGTGAAGGAAGTGTTCTGGAACTAGATACAGGTGGTGATTTCACAATCACATTGTGAATGTAATCCATGCCACTGGATTCACTTAAAATGGCTAAAATGGCAAATTTTATGTTACATATATTTTACCACAATTTATAAAAAGAAAGGGGAGGGGCGCCTGGGTGGCTCAGTGGGTTAAGCATCCGCCTTTGGCTTAGGTCATGATCCCAGGGTCCTGGGATTGAGGCAGAGTTGGGCTCCCTGCTCAGCGGGGAGTCTGCTTCTCCCTCTGTCCCTCCCCACCCACTGTGCTCGAAGGAAGGAAGGAAGGAAGGGGAAGGAAGGAAGGAAGGGAGGGAGGAGAAGGAAGGAAGGAAGGGAGGGAGGGGGGAGGAAGGAAGGAAGGAGAAGGAAGGGAGGGAGGGAGGAAGGAGAAGGGAGGGAGGGAGGAGAAAGGAAGGAAGGGAGCGAGGGAGGGAGGGGGGAGGAAGGAAGGAAGGAAGCAAAAAAGAAAGGGGAAAAAGGCATCTTCTCCCAGAGGCTGGCCCTGAGCCCACCCCAGACTTCTGGTCATGTTTATTCTCTTTTTTTCTCTGGAGTGTCATTTCGCTCGAGCAGCCCCTGGTCTGTCAGCGAATCTTGGGCTGCAGGAAGCCAGGAGGCGGGCTGGCTGGACCTGAGGACTGGCACCTCGGAAAGGGGAGCGAGTCAGCTGCCACCTTCCGGCCGCAGACGACAGAAAACCCAAATCGAGCCTTGCGATGAGGAGAGCGCAGAGCACGTGCAGGGCTGGTCCTCAGCTGCCACCTGAGCAGACCCAGCCAGGGACAGAGACACCAAGCTGAGCGGCACCGTGGGCCACAGCCGTAAAATGGGAACCAGCTAAACGTTCAACGCCGAGGCCGAGAGGCTCCTGCCTTGGCGCTTCATTCACTGGAGGAAAACCCTGGCCAGGGTGTCAGTGGAGAATGGTAGAACTTCTATTAACAGAAAAAAATACAAACCCAACCCCCAGGGAAGTTCGGAGCTCACCGCAGGTGGAAATCAAGAGCATATGGAATGAGGTGACAGAAGAGAGTGGGGAAGGCAGTGTCCGGGGGGCCGGCGCACGAAGGGACACAGGAGAGGACAGAACCGTGACGCCAATACCGCGCCGCGCGGCCCCACCCCGCACTGCCATCGCCGGGAACAAATCTGGTGCGAACAACATCGACGTGAAAATAAGTCCAAAACTTTAATGGGAGAATTTGTGACAAGTCCTAGAAGAAACAATTCACAGTCTTAGCATAAAATTACTATTAAAAAACCAAACTGAACTGAGAAAATGAGCAGCATCTCAGCCCATTTCAGGGCCCGGCCGGCAAGCAAAGGATGGCGCCCGCTGCCTGCTGCGCTTCTGGGTTTTTGAGGTAATAATCAGCTGCATGCGCAGTAAAGACTCGAGTGCCCAAGACTCGAGTGCCCGCAAACCACGGCAGGCCGCCCGGTCCGCTTTTCTGCTTGTCCCCAAAACTTAATTAGATGCGTCTGAGTTGACGCTGCCGGGGTCTCCAGCAGGCGAAGCGGTGGACACTGCGGGGGCGGCTCCCTGGCAGCCGCCCCGGGCCTGAAAGACAGAGACTGAGCATCAGAAGGCCACGGATGGCACATCCCCCGAGAAGAACCCAGAAGAGGAGCCAGGAGCCAGCGGAGGGACTGAGGGGCCCTGTTGGGTCACAGCTGGCCTCGCCACCTGAGCCCTGACGGGAACGCCCTTCCCCAGCATGAAGAGGCCTCCACTGGCCACCTGCTGGGGCTCTGGTCAAGGACTGATGTGGCATCGTGGTGCAGCCGAGGCTTCTGCACATTCTGAGGGGGAGACAGACCCAGTCCAGCCTGGAGCTGATGATGGCCCCTGAATCATCATGGCCGGAGGCAGTGAGCCAGAAGGGCTTGGAAACCTAGCTGGACGCTGGGTCTGGCTGGGCAGCCAGAAGGGCAGCAGCCACGGCTCCCAGGCACAGGGGCTCTGTCTGCGTTGTGGGGACAGTGGCGGGTACACGCGGTCTTGGGATATTTGTCCACAGGACCCCCCCCCCGCCAACTGCAATGGAAAACATCATTGAAAATGGCTCTTCGAGGGCGGTCTGCTCCGTGGCGAGGCCTTTTGCAGCCCACGAGAGCAGGGCCGCTCCCCTTCCCAACCTGCGCTGCAGGGTGGCTTCTGTCCGAGCCACCTGCTCCCAGGTGTGCAGATGTCACACCCTGCATGTGACCCTGAGGGCTCACTTGGCTCCTCCTGAGCTGGCAGGAGGCCACACGAGTTCCCCCTTCCCTTCCTCTCTCTAGTACTTTCCCTTACAGGCTGAGCCCTCCGGCCGGTGCCCTCTACCTCATCGGATCTCACCAGGCCAAGGACCCTGCCCCTCGCCCCTCCCCGCCTCAGCTCTTCCCTCGCCACATGTCCCCCGGCGCTGCCACGGCGCCTGTACTTCAGAGGCCAGGGTCAGGTGAGCAGACAGACTGCTGTATTCCTGAGGGAGCTGCCTCATCCCGTGACACGGGGGTGCCTGGCCCCTCCGACTGGAAGCGGCTGGGATGAGCCCCGGCCTCAGGGGGATACCCTGCCCTCGATGGACACCCGCAGGCCTGTGTTCCGGGAAGGAGGCCGTGGGTGGTGAAGGGACGGGTCCGTCCACAGGACTGAGGGGTGACAGGCTAGTGTCCAGGCGTGGGACTGGAAGCCAAAGGGCAGCCCAGACGTTCCTCGGGTCACAGGGTGGAGGCGATAGCTTCCGGCCAGACGGCCTCAGCCCTCGGGACGGCTCTCTTGAAAGAGCAACTGTGCCCCCCCAGCACAGGAGGGGTGTCCGCACCAGACCAAGGACATTCCCACTTACTCTGTGGGGTGGATAGGACCCTGCCTCATGGTCCAGGGAAACCCCATCGGGACTTAGGCAGCTCCAGACCTCCTGGGGCTGGTTCTAGGGGTAAGGATGGACCTAGTCTATCAGCTCCCCACTCCCATACACACACCCATCATACCTGAGGCACTGGGCCCCAGGAAGGCACAGAGCAAGATGAGGCTGGACCACTTGGTGGCGCCAGAGCTCCCTGCTCTGCCCCGGTGCTCACGATGGGCTGTGGGGTTACCGTGGCGATGGCACATGCATCGCCCTGCACCAGGTCCTGCCAAATGGCACCAGCAGGCATCCATTCCTGCACCAACTAGGGGCTGCGGGTAAATCAGTGGGGGGTCAGCCGGCACTGTAGGGTACACTCCTGTGAAGGAGAAGGTGGGCTAAGGCCTTGCCGATGCCACACAACCTTGCATCCGCATGGACACATCTCAGCTGTGCCTGTGACCCTGCATGGGGGCCAGGCCCCGGTGACAGATGGCAGGATGCTGGGGAGGCACCAGGGGCCAGGAGAGGGATGGGGGCCCCCCAATCCTGGCTAGCCCAACACACTGCCTGACACCCTGAGAAAGTTCCAGAGGGCATGTCTGAGATGCCCGTGATCCCTGGCTTTTTCTTCCCAGTCACCAAAATGGATCTTCACTCTGGCCTAGCTGGGCCCCGGGTGAGGGGACAGTAGGCTGGCAAGGCCAAGGCCCTGATGTGGTGGAGGGTCTGAGCCTAGTAGGGCTCCGTGTTCCAATGGTCAGGGCCTTGTCTGCCTGTCCCCTCCCCCCACTCAGGGGACAGACGCCCGCTGGGAGGGAGGGCTCCTTCCCAACAGCCACAGCCCTTGCCTTGGGCCCACCACTCAGCAGCTGCTGGGAGTTATCGAGTCCTGGGGCTGGGGGTGAGGGGCACAGGTCTTTGCAAAGCGGGGCCCACAGAACCATGCCCCTGAGGCCGCTCCGCCAACCTGCAGTCATCAAGACACCAGACCAAGTACCAGTGGGCCCTTCCTCGTTGCTGGGACCTCTGGGAGAGCCTTGTGGAGGCTGAGAGGTGGCTGGCAAGATGGCCCATTCCCAGGACCCACCACCCACCTGGGCTCTGCTTCTCTGCCCCAACACTGAGTCAGGGACCTCAAGGGCATCCTTGGATTGTGCCCTGAGACTCACCTGGGACCGCAAGCTGCCTCCCGCAGGGGCGGGGCGGAGAGAGGCCAGTGTCTGCAGGGTGATAAGCGCATCCCCGGCACTGGTCAGCGGGAAGGGACCAGAGGGACCTAGAAGGGGTGGGAGGTGTCAGGACAAGTGTTCCAGCCCCAAAGTTACAGAGGCTCCTCAGGTGGGATCTGCCAGCCCCTCAGCCAGGAATGCAGCTCCCACCGGCCTCAGCTCCAGAGAGAAGGTCTACCTGCAGCCCCTTCCTGCACAGCTCAGCGGCCATGCATGAAGGACAGTCCCTGGGCTGGGAAGCCTCACTCACCGGGGCTGGGTGTTGATGGGCAGCTAGCCTGGCTCCCCAGGCCCCCGACTTTGGTGGTGTCGACTGCCATTTTAGTCGTATAAATGGTAGCCTCTTCTTGAAACTTCCCCATGTTCTTTTTATATCGGATTCTTTTGTTGCCGAACCAGTTGGAGACCTGTGGACACACAGAGAAAGAAGTTGCTGGAAAAGCTGACCCAGTAATGAGAGAACGTGAACATATGGTGGGCTTTCTCTGAGTGCCCGTGCTCCCATGGCCAGGAGGAACATCTCTGAGTGGCAACACGAAGCGCTGGGGCCAGGCGAGAGGCTGGGACCGAGAAGCCGGTGCTGACTGAACCGTGGACCCAGGGAAATGGCCACAGTGGGTGGAGGTCACCCCGAGCCGGCCTGTCCTACCAGGTGCTGCTGGGACGGGGGTGGGAAGGAGCTGGAAGGAAACAGCATGTCTGACATGTGGAGAGCCGAGCGTCCACTCCCTGCAGGGGCAGGAACAGACTAAATTCTGGATTGCTCTTTGGGGAAAGTGAGAGCCAGGGAGCCATGTGTCCCCGGGGACCCAGTAACCCCACTCCTGGGAATTCAGTCTAAGGAAAGACCACATCAGATCCACAACTTCTCAAAGGATGACACGGACGGACGAACTGACAGGGCAGTGGGGAGGAGCCTAGCACTGAGCTAAGCGCCTGTCACATCCTCGGAGCAGCTGGGGACAGCCGCGGTCACAGCCATCCTACAAGCCAGCAGGCTCGGCAGGTGCAGGAGCCCCGGGGCTGAGCGGGGCTGAGCCCAGCTGACCCCAAACCTGCTCCAGGACCAGGCCAGGGCTTCTCCCTGGGGTTGTTCTCAGCTCCGGGGCCGTCCTGGGCTCTGTGGGGTGCTGAGCAGCACCCCTGGCCTCCACCCACCAGATGCCAGCAGCACCCCAACCCAAGGGTTGTGACAATGAAAATTTCCCCTGGGGGCAGAATCAGTGAGCCCCTGGGCCAGCGCCTTCCTTTGGAGAAGGGCACAACTGGAAATACTTCAATATCCCAAAGTAAGGCCTGGGGCCCTGCAGTGACGTATGTGTGGTTTAACCAACAGAAATAACAGTGGCAGGGTTTTGATGACCTTTTCTTTTTTGAAAATGTATTTCTTTAATGTGCCTACCCAGGTGCTCCACGTTATCTTCTCCATTGTTAGCCATGAAATGAAAAAGCCCCGTGTGTGCTCCTGCCCCTCGCAGTGTCTCCTCCTGCCTGCCCCCGGGTGTGAGGGCGGCCAGAGCAGCACTTGGTTCCCTCTACCTACGAGGAATGTGCTGGAACGTCTTTGTGGAACTGAGTCTGCAGAGGAATGGCAGCAAGCAGTTTTCCATGGTAACTCAACTGGCATTTTAGGGGGGCAGACAGCAAGCCTCCCGTGTGGGCGAGGCAGGGAGGCTGGCCCTGTTCTGGGCAGATGGGGGACCCAGGGGCTGGGGGAGAGCCGGTCCCGGGCCAGTGTCCGCGCCCCGTCCATGGGGAGCACCCCAACACGGGCACCTCAAGTAGGTGCGGACATGGCCCAGGCTCTGATATCCTCTCGGTCGGTGTGGCCCGGAGCCACCAGCCGCCCCCGCCCAGCCTCTCGGGCCCATCTGGCCCAGCCCGCTGCAGGTTCCGCTGCCCAGGTTCCGCCCGCCCGTCTCCCCATCCATGGTTCAGCAACCCTGCCCCTTTCTCCCTCGGGCCTCAGCTGCAGCGGCAGCTGATTCTATCTTTTTTTTTTTTTTAAAGATTTTATTTATTTATTCATGAGAGACAGAGGGAGAGAGAGAGAGAGAAGCAGAGGGAGAAGCAGGCTCCCAAGGAGCAGGGACCCCGATGCGGGACTCGATCCCAGGACCCTGGGATCATGACCTGAGCCGAAGGCAGACGCTTAACCATCTGAGCCACCCAGGCGCCCCAGCTGATTCTATCTTGAAAACGTCTATGGCCTCATGTGTGACACCCCTTGCCCTCAGTGTGCCCCCATTACCTTCTCCTTAGGTGAACCTCCCAGCTTGCACATCTGCATCCTAAATTCAGAGTCCCCCCTCAACTGTCAGCCATTTCATGCTATCCTGAGACCTGGTGGACCCGCCACCATGGGGAAGGGGCTCCCGGCACAGAATTCTGCTGCTGGTCGGTGTGTGTGTGGGCGGCGGGGGGGGGGGCGGGGAGTCTTAGGGCCTGAGCACAGAGGGGAAGTCACCGGAACGTGCCTAATTTCGTTGGCAACTGACCCTCTCCTCAAATGAAGTCCAGACCCAACACCCATCTGCTTTCCAGAGGCGCCAGAGCCTGAAACGAATGGGGCTGTTCCTCAGCTGCACGAGGTGACAAACAAGCTGCCGCGCCTCACGCTTCTTCGGAGCCTTGAGGCCCCAGAGGTGCGCCCCTTGCTTCAGCGCTGGCCTCGGTGCCGAGGACGCCAGAGCAGTCCAGGGTGATGGAAGTCAGGGGGACTGCGACACCTGCAAGGTTCTGCTACCAGGGGGCCCCTGGACTTGTCGCAGCTGGACTTGGCCGGGGCTGGGACACAGTTCTGGCTAAGGGCACGGGTTCTGGAGGCAGCCAGACTGGGCTGGAAACTCAGCCCCTTCAAGTGCACAGTGGGTGATGATCAGTGACCTAGCATTAGCGCGGTAAGCCCTGCTGCCAGAGGCTCGGGGGCTGTTGCCCCGGGGGTGCAGCCTGATCCTGCCTCGTGAGCCGCCTGTACTCACCATTCCCACTTTAAAACCTTCTGAGATGTTTCTTGGGTTCTCCCCTCAGCTTCCCCTCCTTGCTCCCAATTCCACTGAGGACACTGGAGGTCCAGACTGCAGGGCCTCCCAAGGCTGTCCAGGTCTCATCTCCAATCTGTACCCCCACCCACCCTCCACGTGGAGACAGATGTTGCCCGTTATTGCACAACCCTGGCCACGCGCTCTGGACCGCTGGAGAAACAATCAAGCACGCATGCATCCGAACTTCTCCCAGTACAGCTGAACTGGTACTCTGGCATGAGAGCTGATCTATCATTTTCAGTCCTAATTTTGCTCCAAGTTGTTTTTCTCTTCCTGTGCTAACATATGCTCAGCTCTCTTATGCAGCACACGACATCCCTGTGATACAAGTGTGTGCTCGGTCCTGACGGCCAGACTCTACACTCCACTGATGCGGCCTCAGGGACCTCACACTCCACCCACGGGCTCCACACAGTTAATGAACTTCCTTGGGCATCCTCCTCACTGGACAGGACCTTCTCCCCCTCCTCCATGCAGGGAGGCCCATCACCTGCGAGACTGTGATGCCGCCCTTCCTGGCCAGCTCTTCTTTGGCTTCTTCGCTGGGGTAAGGGTTGCTCAGATGGGAGTAAAAATACTCATTCAGCACTTCGGTGGCCTGCTTGCTGAAGTTCCGCCGCTTGCGCCTGCAAAGACCCATCTTCTCAGCCTCAGCCAGTGTGCACCCCAGCCTCTAGGGATGCCCGTGTCCCCGTCTGTGATTTCCTAGAGGTCAGCGCTTTTTTTTTTTAAGATTTTATTTATTTGAGAGAGAGAGAGAGAGCACAAGCAGGGGGAGAGGGAGAAGCAGACTTCCCGTTGAGCAGGGAGCTTGATGTGGGGCTCGATCCCAGGACCCCAAGATCATGACCTAAGCAGAAGGCAGATGCTTAACCCACTGAGCACCCAGGCGCCCCAAGGTCAGCACTTCTGATCGCCTCCCAAGAGGCTGTGTGAGGGCTGCACGCCTGGCCACAGCTGGAGCCCCGGGACAGGCTGGGAGGCCCCCAGAACTTAAACCCAAGCCAGCTGCAATTTGGTTTTTCTTCTTAAGAGCCAACCCTGGGATCATGGGCAGTATGTAGGGCCTGACCTGGCATCGAGGAACCGTGAACGCAGGGTCATCACAGCCTCGCAGGTGCTCTGCTTCAACTGCATCTGGATGGCACTGAACTTGCTGTGGATGACACTGACCATGCGCTCGATCTCCTTGGGCGAGACGGGCCTCATCCTGCTCTGCTCCCGGAGGAGGTTGGTGACGTGCGTGGTGAACTCACGGCAGGCCTGGGGTGGGGACACATGTGCCAGCCTGTGACTACCCAGAAGGCTGGCTCGGGGCTCCACGCGGGACCAGCCACCTGCCGCCCCCCCTGCAGCTCCCACACAGGCTGGCTACTGAGAAGTGAATGCAAAGGGTTTCCAGCAAAATCGGCCACCTCTGCCGTGAGACCAAGTGCATGTAGTCTCTGGTCTATGCCACAAAAGAAAGGTGGTTAGCGTTCCATGTTTTGCTTTGACAAATGTGCATTCACATGATAGAAACTCTTCCATGCAGAAAGATCACCTGTTCATATTTCTCTAGCTCAGAGTGGTAAATCTGTCGGATCTGGGACAGCTTGGCCCTGTAGTCAGAGTGCTCAAGGCTATTGTCATTTGGACAGCCACCTGGTGTTGCTGTGTTGGCCGCTGCCGCCAATCCTCCCCTTCCTCGCCTCTCCGGCCTGGATACCCCCTCGGCCAGCAGCATGTTATCCAGCCTCATGAGCTGAGCATTGGGGGGACCTTCTTCTTGAATGCCATGGATGCTTAACACTAGATAGGAGAGATGAGACCGAATCAGTGTCCGCTGTCCGAGGGAAAACAACCACAACAGGTTATCGGCACTGGCATCATATCTGAACCCCTGAGGGGAAAGGAAGGCTTCCTTTTATCTGGTAAGAGACAGCAAGTTACCCACTTTGACGGTGATCCAGGTGCCACACAGGAATGCAGTCCAGGGAGTGCATACAGGCCACTGTTCGGCGTAGCCATGTGGGTGGAACTTAAGAGTCCATAGCCGGGCACCCATGGGAGGCCTGGGCAGGGCAGGTTTGGGGTGGCACCCGGCCCTGGAGAAGCCCAAAGCCCTGAGCCATGTGTCTAGAAGGGAGGGGAGGGCACACTTCCAGATACTCACACAAGCAGAGGCGTGGACATGAATGTGAACGGCAGCCTGGGGTCGGTACAGTGCTGTGTTGGTGTGCATCTGTTGTGATGATGTGTGTCAGGGAGGGGAACTGTTGCTATAAAGTCAGAGAGGAGGGACGCCTGGGTGGCTCAGTCAGTTAAGCATCTGCCTTCGGCTCAGGTCATGATCCCGGAGTCCCAGGATCGAGCCCCACATTGGGCTCCCCCGCTGAGCGGGGAGTCTGCTTCTCCTGACCCTCCCCCCTCTCATGTTCTCTCTCTCACTCTCTTTCGAATAAATAAATAAAATCTTTAAAAAAAAAAAAGTCAGAGAGGAAAAGCTTGATCTAGAGGGTACCAGAAAAGATGAACTAATCCACTTAAGAGATTTTAAACAGAAAAACAAGACATTTGGCCCTAAAACTTGGGAGGCTGGGCCTCAGCTGGGCTGAGAGAGGGGGCCCGCTGGGGGCAGGGCTGGATTGGCAGGGGAGACAGTGGGGAGAGCTGCCACTGTCCAGGTGGACACAGGACAGCCAGAGGGAGAGTCCCCAGGATCCCTGAGCACCGGATATGGGTGTGAGAGAAAGAGGCCAGGGCAACTCCCAAGTTCATATGGGCAGCGCCACGGATGGCACCACATTCTCCCAAGCACAGTGTGCAGAGTGGCCTGACCCATCCTGAGTCCCTGACCCAGCCAAGCACAGATTCGAGGTGGCTGCTTACTGGGAGGTGGGGATGGACGGACCAGTTTGGGTGGGAGACAGATATTCATGTGTCAGCTGCATGTGGTGTGTTTGGGACATCTGTACGTATCCGCCTGTGCACGCAGCTCTACTTATGAGAAGTAGGCCATGGCCTCTGAATGCTGGAAAACCGACATAAGGGATAGGCAAAGGAGGAGATGGAAAGAATGATCAGGTAGGTCAAGAAGAACCAGAAGTAGTCACGGGGGTGAAGGGCTTAGTCATTAGGAGACCGCTGTTAACCTCTGTAAAAGCGCTGTAGGGTCCGGTGGGGTAGAAGCTGACTAGAAAGCTCCAGAGGACCGTGGGAGCCAGGCAGTGCAGGGAGGGAAAGCCTGCTGCAGGGGCTGCAGAGCGAGGCTCAGAGCCGAGGAGGGTGGTCTTGCAGGAGCTGAATTTTGTTTGTTTCTTCAGTCACAGAAGTGCCTGTGACTACAGAGAAAGAAACAGGTGGACGATCATGGGGGGTGGGGGAGTGGCCCTGAGGGGAGGGAGGAGGCAGGGGATTGGGAAGGAGGTGATGATGTCCATCTAGTTCTGACTTCCCAGAAAAAGTTTAAAGTGTTTTCTTGGGAATAGGTTCCTTTAATACTATCAACTACTAACAGACTTAAATGTTCAAATGAAAAAGGAGTGGAGCCCTATTAGCAGAGATATTTATGTATCACTTGTCCCTTTCCTGTTCCCTGCACAAAGGAATGACCTTTTCTTTTTTTTTTTTCAAGATTTTATTTATTCATTTGAGATACAGAGGTACAGAGAGAGAGAGACAGCATGAACAGGGGTGGAGGCAGAGGGAGAGGGAGAAGCAGGCTCCCCGCTGAGCCAGGAGCCCGATGCGGGGCTCGATCCCAGGACCCTGGGGTCACGACCTGAGCCGAAGGCAGACGCTTAACCATCTGAGCCACCCAGGCGCCCCATGGATTGACCTTTTCTGTCACAGATTTACTTGTGAAAACTGAAGGAGCTCAAAAGCTATCCTTGTAGGAATTTTCCTCATGTGTGGGGACTCAGTCCCACTGGGTCACAGGGAGGTGCTTTCTGAAAGAGCTGAGGGAGAGGGACCCTCCATCAGAGCCTCCATCGCAACCTTACATGATCTTCAAGGGCACCAGAAGTGAATCTTACTTCCCGTGCTCAACCAGGATGGGGCTCCCGGGGTGCACATACCCCCCCATCTGGTCCTTGCAGACGCCAGCTGTAGCTAAGCGGCTGGGGGTTCCTGGACAGGCCCTAAGTCTGCTCTACAATTAACCTGTACTGCCTGGTCTTGGTACAGGCCCCTGCTCCCCTAATCTCTCTTTGCCCAGAGTAGATAATGGATGCCCTCCTGCTCAGGTCCCTCTGTTTTCAAATCCTGTTGATTCTACCTCCTCAATCAACTCACCATCCATCCTCTCCCTTAACGCCATTCCTGGGTCCTGCTGCGCTCACCCCTCCCCTGCCCTCCACGATTCGCAGAGGAAATCCCCCTCTCTGCCCCATCCATCGTGCACACCTGCAGGCTGAGCACCTTCAGACACTGTGTTCATCATTCCAGTCCTGTTCAAAGACTACAACAACTCCCGGGCACCCTCGGATAAAACCTAGAGTCTGACACCTGGCCCTCAGGGACTTGCCTGACGTCCTTCCAAACTCACCTTCGTGAACTTTCCCTCTGCTGGGCCCTGCGCATGGCCCTTTGACAGCACAGCAGACACTCTGTTGCTGTATCAGGTTTATTCCGCAGCTGTCCCCCGAGTGCCTATGGTCCAGGAGGGGGACCAGGAGCAGGCCAAGAGGGACACACAGGACCCGGCATGCTCTGATGCCCAGGTTGGGGGAGAGGCTACCTCTTCACCTTCCATTATGGCTTAGTTAAGTTAGGGAAAGGAGTGATCAGGTTGGAACACGAGGCTTAGTGAAGGCATGTGTGTGCACCAGAGGCATGGGCGCACGTGAGGGTAAGTGTGTCTGTGTGTGCCACGTTTGCATGTGTAACTCTGGGCTGCTGCAGGGCGTGTGGCAGTCTTTCTCCTGTTCTTTACCCAACAGCAGGCATCTGGGAGCCCATTACAAGCCGAGTACCATACCCAGTGTTGAAGGTTTTTCAAAATACACCAAAAAAAACACATGGAACTTATCTTTCTCAAATGAAAATTCTCAAATCACAGAGAATACCCAAGCCTTTTCTCACATTTCTCTATAGGTATGTATTGGTGCTGCCTTTTTTGGAGGTGAGTTTTGAAATGCTGATTAACAATGAAAAAGTGCATATCCTTTGATCTTCAAATTATTGTTCTGAGAGTTTGTCCTACAAGAACATTGACACCTATAGATGCCATATTTACAGGATGCCCACACTACCTCTACTGTTCGTAATTTTGAAAAACTGAAACCATCCAGATGTCCACGAATAAGGAGACAACATGCCTGTCATACCCCAGGCCCTGTGGTGTTAGCCATGCTATTATGGTAAGCAATCACACCCTACAGGCTTTATTTCTTTACGACTGGACATTTTTGCAAATGTACATATTTGAGTAAAAGCAAAACTTAAAAAAAAAGTGCGCTTTGCCCTCCTCCGCCAATGCCCTGCAGCGCAGCTCCGTCTCTCCCTCAGCACCGAGACCCTGTCCTCCCAGGCACTGTAACTGGCCTAATTATGGTCATTAGATACTCATTACCACCAATTACAACAAGCTCATTTCCGGTAGGCTGTCCCAGAGCATCTCAGATGTGCTCCTGGGCACCCTCAAGGGCCCTCAACTGGCGACTGGGAGGCCTCGGGGACCAGGAGCTCAGCTCAGGGACACTGTCTGCTTGAGGCACTTAGAGGAGGAGGTAGGATCTAAAATAAAGCCCCCCAAACCCACACCCGGGCCAACGGCCAGAGTTCCTTCTGTTCCCAAATTACTGAAAGCGATAAAAACCCTGGTAAATCAAACAATGAAAGGAAATTGTGAATATCAACACATTACGTTTGTTTTTAAAGAAGTAATAAGGAACTGTTATGGGCTGAACTGCATCCCCCTAGTTCACCCGTTGCAGCCCTAACTCCAGTGTGACTGTATCTGGAGACAAGTGAGGAGGTGATTAAGATGGAATGAGGTTGTAAGGGTGGGGCCCTCACCCTAGGACAGCAGCCTTCCAAGAAGAGGAAGAGAGCCCTCCCACACCCCCAAGCTCCATGTGAGTGCAAGGCAAGAAGGTGGCTGTCTGCAAGGCTGGAAGTGGCCCTCACTAGGAACCAAATTAGCTGGCACCTTGATCTTGGACTTCTAGCCTCCAGAACTGTGAGAAAATAAATGTCTGTTGTTTAGGAATCCCCAAGCAGATTAAGATAGGAACATGATCCCAAGTTGTTTTCATTTTTCTCTCCTTAATGGAACAAAGACATGGCTACTGGGGGAGATGGAAGGCTCAGAGGGGAAGCCTCCTTCACCCTGACTGCCCCCATCCTGTTTGCCTATCCCTTCGCCCATTCAGGAGTGCTCTTGCTTGGCAGCAAGACTGTGTTCCAGCTTCCTCCTGTGCCAAGGTAGGAGACTGGAGAGAGCCATCTCCAGGGCCCATACCCACATGGGAGGAAGTCTAACCCATGAGTTGAGCCGCAGAGACCTCAGATGCCCCTAACTGGCCTGACCACATGGCTGTGAATGTGTCACCCTGCAGGCTGCAGCTCCCAGCTGTGAATGGAGCTACCCTGAGCACCCAACGGGATGGGATGATGCAGGACAGGCCTGCCTGACCTGGAGCTTGCCAGCGTGCAGGACTCAGCAAAACACTGACCTCCCTTCCTCCCTGCTGCCCTCAATGGGCAGGGCCCTAGGCCCTCAGAAGCCTGCCCCCCTCAACCACACAGCGGGGTCTCCACCACCCAGTGTCTGGATGGATGAAGCTGAGAGAACTCGGAATAGA